AATGGAATTCGGTATCAGCTAATTCCAGCCCATGAGTATAAATACTAGTGGTCAAGAAGGAATGGTGTTAGCTTGGGCTTCTAAGCTCTAGAATGAGGGTTTTTTTTTTAACACTTTGCTTTCTTTTATTCAATGACTTAATTACATCAGTAGAGCTCACGGATGTTTTATACTTTAGATTGTAGCAGCATGTACTAGTTCGGTGTGTTTAAACACACTTGCAATTCCAACACTTGGAACATGAAGGCAGGAGGGTTACATGTTTGGTTTAGCTGCAAGATAATAAAATCGATAGAAGGCTTTTTTTTTTCTCTCTCTCTCTCGTCTGGTCTGTGAAATCATGCAGATCCTACAGATGTTGGCACATTTAATTCTTCAGGACAAGGTGGATCGAAGAGCAGCTCATGAAGTGTTTCTGATACTACACACCAGGCACTGACCTAAGGTGCCACTGTCTGCCTAATAGGGTGAATTTCTCCCAGCGGGAGGTCAATGTCCTGAGTCTGGTTCCCACACTGTCCAACCACAGCAGTCTTAGTGCATCTGGGGCTTTACAAGGTAGTTCAGGGACGCTGGCAAGGGAACCCTAGAAAGAGTTTCATCAACTGGGCCTGTGCTTCTGCAGCTTTCTTGACCCTTGATCTACGTATCACCAGTACTATAGCCCAGAATGGGCACCGTAGGACGTTTTGATAGACAAGAGCTTCAAGCTACTGGTGACATAACCCTAGCTGTGTAGCCCAGCATGTCTTTGACTGTCTGATTTTTCTGTCTTCATCTGTGAGTGCTGGGATTAAAGGCATGAGCCACCACACCTAGTTGTATGCAGTCCTGGAGATGAAATCGTAAGCTTAGTGTACATGAAGCAAGCCCTCGCCTGACAACTGAGCTAGCTTCCCAGCCCCATACGTGAGAAACTTTAGATTGAACTAATGCCTCCAAGAAGTCACATACTTCGCAAAATTTGTTTTTGTGTCTGGTGCATGCGTGTGAACATGTATGTGCATAAATAGGGACACATGTGAGTTGCAAATGGGTAAGTGTGTGGAGGCCAGAAGCTGGTGTGGTGTCCTTCCTTCATCAATCATCTTAGTTTTTGACAGCGTGTCTCACTGACTCCATAACTCACTGATTCAGCCAGTGCAGCTAGCCAGCAAGCCCCTCGGATCCTCCTTTTCTGTCTCCCTGGCACTGGGATTAAGGCACTTACCACCACACCCAGCTTTTACCCTGAGTGTTGATCCAAACCCAGGTCCTCACCTTTACGGAGAAGCACTTCTGCAACTGAGCTACCTCCTCAGCCCCATAAAATTTTAGGATTTTTTGGTGGTGCTGGGATGAACTGAACACCTTGTGCCTACTAACCAAACTACCACTATGCTACCTACATCAGCCTAGTGTTCTGTGTTTTAGAAGGATTCTTGTTCAAAAAATCCTCCTGCCTCAGCATTCCCAGTAGCTGGGTCTTTTAGTACCATTTAAGATATTTAGCTAAGCTTGACATGTATCTGCAACCCTAGCACCAGAGAGGCTAGCCTACATACTGAGACTGTCTCAAAAACATATCATGCACAGAAACTGGTACCAGGATCAGGAAGCAATCTTATCATTTCTCCATGCTAGGTCCTTTTTAAATGCTTACAGAAAGCTACTAAAAAGATTTCCTTTGTCATCCGGTTGTCCCCAAATTTATAAAAGTTAGAAAAATTTAAAGGTATAAGCAGGACCAGTTGCTGGACTTCATTTGAAGGACGCTTAACAACAGAGAACTGATTGGGACAGGACCTTATGCATAAACTGAAAGCCACTGCCACTTTCTCTGATGATGAGATACAGACTTACAGATACACAGCAAAATGCTGGTGTTTCACTCTCTGTCAGAAAAAAATCAACCACCAGGACTGGCCCAATACCAAGATCTTCTAATTGTTCAACTAACCAGTTCAACTACCTCTGTCCAGATTAAACAGTACCAGTGACCTGGAAACAAAAGTCCTTATGCTAGTATGATCTTTGTGTCTGGACACATTCCGGGCTGGAGTGAAAGCAAATTTTTACGTTTGTGTGCTTTGTGTGATTTTAGTGCAGTATAGCTCTGGGTACACGTCTGCCCAAATAAATACTACTGCATGTTACTCCCTCAAAGAGAATGTCTATTTGACATTTTCTAGGAAGAAAACGATAACTAAAAAAATGTAATTTAACTTCCTAAAGGTTCTTAGAACTTTTTCTTCTGAATGCTGACCCTAAACTTTTTGCTCTATTTTAAATTTTTGACAAGGTCTCCTGCATCCCAACCTGGCTTCAAGCCTGCTATGGCACAGTGACCCTGAACCCCTGATTCTCCTGCCTCTACCTCCCAAGTGCTGGGACTATCAGTGTATCCCACTGTGCCTGGCTTACGAACTGTGGGAGATAGGACCCAGAGCTTCATGCTTGAAGACACTCTAACAGCTGGGCTTCATCCAGAGCTATCATCTAAATACTTTCCTTATTTCTTGGGAACATCTTGAGTTGAAAAGTTGTACCGAGAAATGTTAACATAGGGTATTAACATTTTATCAAGTAGAGAGTATCGTATCTTTTTCCACAAAAGCCAAACAGAAAACAAAGTGTTACTAACATTTTCTATTTATTCATTAATAAAAAGTGCATAGTACAAGCCCTTAACCCCAATCCAAGTACTCAGTAAAAGATTAATACCAAAGGCTAGATGGCACGGGCTGATTTGTTTGGCATGATTTACACATTGAGAAACAGCAAATTACATTTAGTACATCACATGAACCCTTTGCCTTTAACAAAATAATCACTGGACATGTAATGATACACAGGAGTCTTCACTGAGAAATATAAGACTACCCCTATTTTCTATTGCAATGACAAAATTGAAACCATTTGTCATTTTCCTTCTTCAAGTTGCTGTTTTGTGTTTTAAAGTGATCTGGTCAAACTTAAGAAAAAAAATCACTGAGAGAGAGACAATTTTTCATTTAGAATGACAGACTTCCACAATTCCTTTAAAAGTCTGATACTAATAATTCCATAAATACTATTACAGACACTAAATGGAACCATGGGACAGTGATACTCAAAAGTGACTCTGGAGAACCTCTGTACATTGTAAGACATGAGTTCTTAAGCATGGGATAGTGTTTAGATACATGATCAAATTTCTGCTTTAAAAACAGACCCGATGTTAAACTGTCCCATGTGGAAAACAGAAAAACAAAACTACTAGATTTTGTATGAAACAGTATGAAGGGACTCTCAAATGAACTTTCTAGGTGGCATGGATGGCCCAAAGTCAAGACTGTAAGCTTTCTCTTTAACTTTATTCTAAGAGAACTGTAGCTACAGATCAAGTGAATCTTTGCAAGCCAAATAATGGTGTACAAATATGCTAGATTAAAGGGCCACATGTAGAAACTCAATAAAGAGAATAACAAATTAGTTGGGCTAATATAATATTCTATGCAAGATATTATCACTTTAGGAATATAGAAAAAATTACCAAAGAAAACAAAAATAACAAAGATTAAAGGTAAAAACCCAAGGCCAAGTACTTCTCAAAGAAATTCAACTGTTAACAGGCATTGAAACGCCTGGATCAGGCCAGGTGGTGGTGGCACATGCCTTTAATCCCAGCTGGGGAGGCAGAAGCAAGTGGATCTCTGAGCTTGAGGCCAGAGCTACACAGAGAATCTCTGTCTCAAAAAAAAAAAAAAATCTGGATTGGATTTTCTTTTCTTTCTTTTTTCTTTTTTTTTTTTTTTTTGGTTTGGTTTGGTTTGGTTTTTCGAGACAAGGTTTCTCCATGTAGCCCTGGCTGTCCTGGAACTCACTCTGTAGACCAGACTGGCCTCGAACTCAGAAATCTGCCTGCCTCTACCTCACAAGTGCTGGGATTAAAGGCATGCGCCACCACCACCCAGCTGGACCAGATTTTCATGCAACTGTGATCATATGTACATCTGATGAACACATAACTAAGCCACTTCTATGTCAGAAAGTAAAATCTTTACCGGGTTTAAAACAACCGAGGCTGTGTTACTAACTTACTAGAGGGTTTACATAGGAACAAGCTATGACATTTAGATGTAAGTGTATGTGGTAGAAATGAATACCTAGAATAAGAATCTACTTTTCCAGGTCTCTAATACTAGATGTTCTGTATCCACATTTTCTCCATTAAAAAAATAATTTATTCTTATTTTATGCTCATTGGTCTCTTGCCTGCCTGTATGCCTATGTGAGGGAGGAGTTACAGACAGGTGTGAACTGCCATGTGGGTGCTGGGAACTGAACCTGGGTCCTCTGGAAGAACAGCCAGTGCTCTTAAGTGCTGAGCCTTCTCTCCACCCTTCGACATTTTTATTCTAATCCAAGGTGAAGTCTCAACTATTTGTGAGACAGACTTCGTGAAGCCATCAGCAGGTTAGAAAGCACTGTTGGGATGTGTGCAGCCTTCAGAGGCTGAGGACAGGAGAAGAAACACTACAGCTTTAGATCCACCTGAGGCCGTTCTAGGTTGGCTCAGGTTAAGTCCCTCATGCCATTTTTTTCCCTTTGTGAGCCAAGGTCTTCCCATGCAGCCCAACCTACCTGAAATTTCACTATGTAGCCTAGTCTGGTTTCAAGACTGCTACCATATCTGGCTTTCGTGTTAAACTGGCTACTGGCTACGAAGTGGATAAAACTTCTGGGTGGCCCCAACAAGAGAGAGATCCCTTACCCTGTTTTATTCATTTGTTCAGAATTTAACTTACCTGGTTAAGTCACTCCTTATAAACACGAGTAGCTAAGAGGTGGTTATATTATTGTAACACTTATAAGTGTTGAGCACAAAGCCAAGTGTGCCAGGAAGAGCACAAGTAGCCAGGAGTACCACACAGGACAAAGAGATGCCCTTAACAGTGCGAATGGCCCAGATCTCGATAACCATAGGTTGGGGGAAATAGGCAAAATGTCACACAATTGGATCACAGGGCAGTCAGTGATGCAGTGTGGTAGACGTTTATTTAGTTCACACAAACGGCGTCTCAGCTCTGTACACTGGCAGCCTAGACTGTCCGAGGAGTCTTGATAACAAAATATGTTCTGGCCCCGACAAGTCCCCTGCAGTGATTCCTCGGAGGGAAGAGTCCAGGCCATCCGGGCCTGTTTAATGCAGTCTGTAGTCACTGCTTTTGAGCCCTGACTGGCTAAACACATTTTGAAATCTCAGTTACCAATGTTCCTTCCAGCTTGGATGCATCGGCGTCCCACTATGAAACAGAATTGAGCTGAGAGGTGACAAAAATATTCTCGTTTGTCATTTTCCTCCTTTCCCTTGGAATAAACTGAGACCTCAGATTAAAGGCTTTTCTCCTCATCAGTCAGAAGGGCAGCAAAAGACTCATTTTTTTAAATTAAAAAAAAAAGGTATGAAATTAAGCCACGGGTATGAAACTGTCAGCCCCACATACAGATGATTTCATTTTACCAGTGTTAGAATGGAAGAGAAGCTTGCTGCAGAGACACTCACTTCAAAACAAGTATCATGAGCCGAGTAAGGCTAGCATACAGTGGCTTTCAATGACACACAACGGATTGTAAACCAACCACTATATTAATCAATCATGTTTATTTAAAGTATTCTTAACATCAGAAAATTTTAATGGAAATTAAAAAAAAATTAGTAAATAACCCATTTGCTTTCCCTATTCTAGCCATGTGAGCCAGCTGGAGGTTGTAAGGAGATGCTCGAAAGTGTCACTGTCCCAAGGATACAGAAAACTGCCACCCACGGATAAACTGCCACAGTAAAGTAACTACAGCATGGCTCTGTCACTCATACCAGACAACCCCAAATAAATACCTTATGAAAAGAATTAAAATCTATCAAAACCACTTAAAATAGTTAAATGCAGAAATCTCCATTTTCCCTCAGCTGGGCCGGAAGCCACCACAGACGGTCAGGGTTCCAGGGAGGACGAGTGGAATGTTTAAGCTTAGGCTAACCAACAAAGTCCTCGACTTTTCAATAGAATCATTTACTCAGGTATACTGTAAATAAAGACTGTGGCAACACAGGAAGCAAAAGGCAGTTGGCAAGTGAAATTTCTAGAAGCTCATGAAAACAATACCATCCAAACTGCAGATGGAAAAGGAGACAGTTAGTGCCTGGTCATCTTCAGTCGTTCGGTCGTGCAGGGTGTTAAACAATCGCTGCTTCCCACGCCAGGACGTTAGTCCACTGGAGGGGCTGGCGGGTCCTGTCCCTGGCATTAAAAAAAAAAACAATGGGTTAAGTGACTTTAACACATTCCATGAGTCACGAAGGGGCATCGCACCTGTCCCCACCTGAGTCGCACTTGCTGTCTTCGAGGTTTTACATGGGAAATACTGTGGTTTGGCAGGGTTTGCTCCTTGCCTGTGGTATGGAAGGGAAGCTGCAACAGTACCAGGATTATCCCAGCCTCCTGGAGGTAGTATCAAGCTTTCTGGGAATGTGATTGGCTTAGTGCAGCACACTCACAAGTAGAGACTTCTGTCTCACTGTGGAACGTCTATTAGAATGTAACTCCAGTGCTGTGGCAACCTTCCTACCGCTGTAAGGGAAGCCCGCTTACAACGCAGCCTGGAGTAAGAGGAAAGAAACTGGCTATGCATGCATGCTTGTATGTATATATGTATTTAGAACGGGTATGTATGTATGTATGTATGCACGTATGTGTGTATTTAGACTGGGTCTCATGTATCTCAGAGGTTGTGCACACTGGTCAAGTATTCTACCAACTGAGCTGTATCTCCTCAGCCCAGAAACTTGGTTTATGATAGCACTGTTAATTTTTTTTTTCTTTTTCGAGACATTGGGGATTTGCTAGGTAGTCTATGTTCTGGGGTCACAGTTGTGTACAAGCACAGTCTGCTTCATGCTGTTAAACTTTCTCAGCACTGAACCTGACTGAAGTTTTGCTGTGTAAACCAATAAATCCATTTAATCACCTTTAAACTGTTTTTTTTGTTTTTGTTTGTTTGTTTGTTTGTTTGTTTTTTGTTTTTGTTTTTTTTTTGCAACTTGCAACAGCCAGCACCTGAGCTAAGAGAAGAGATGAAAGCCATGCCAAACTATAGGGGCTGAGAAAGGAGGATCAAGAGTTGAGGTTAGCTTGAGCTACAAAATGAGTTCAAGGCTAGCTGGGCCATATAGTAAGACTTTATCTCAAAGAAAGGTGAGGAGGGAGGGAGGGAGGAGGGTTGCCAGGAAGGCTTTATTTACTTAGCCAGCATGCTCTGTAAGGTGGGCGGCCTTTCTACTGTGGTTTGGTTTTTTCTGTTCCTTGCTTAGGACACAGGGACCACTGTTCCTACGACCAATAAGGTCTGTCACTTGTGATGGCTTCTAAGTCAAGTTAAGTTGGATTTCTTTCTCTAAACATTGAAGAAATTGCTCCCTGACACAAAAACAATAAAGGTATACACAGAATGTAAGGCATGGGGAAAGGCTAAGAAAGACAGACTTTCCGTCTTCAAGTTTTTTATGCACAGTCCCCTTTCCAGGAAAAGCCTAAAGTACACTAAATCAGTCTTCCTTTTCTTCTAAGACAGATGAAGTCTCACTGTGTAGAGTAGGCTAGCCCTGAACTGAGAATATAAACCCTCATGTGCCAATAAAGCCATTCTTAGCTCGACCAGCACAGAACATGTCTGCACTCTCCTAAAAGCTCCATGGTATGGCCAGTTCTCACTGTATGCCTGCTTTCCTCTTAGATGAAGAATTGCTTACAAATTCTAACATTGACAAGGCTGAGCACTGGGAAGGCTGAATAACAGAATTCGTAGAGTAACATGAATCTAACATGTGTTCTAACACGTGGTCTCTTCATGAAGAAGAAAGGTGTTTTGAGACAGGGTTTCCCACAGGGAAGCAAGCTAGGCTCTAACTTGCTATGTAGCAAAGGGTGATCTTGAATTTTTGATGTCCTATCTCCACCTGCCTGGGGCTGGGATTACAGGTGTGTGCCACCATGCCCTGTTTATGAGGTGTTGAGGAGCCAAGTCAGGGCTTCATACATGTTAGGCAAGCAGTCTACAAAGTAAGCCACATCCCTGTTGATGGATGCCAGTCACAGGTGTAGCAACATTTCATGTAAAGCCAGACATAAAGGCTTTACTACACATATCACTACACAGTCCTAGCCTGGAAACATTTTTTCTTAATTATTTTTATTTTCTGTACATCTTTTGCCTACACATATGGCTGCGGGAGGGTGTCAGATTCTCCAGAACTGGAGCTACAGACCATTGTGAAATACCATATGGGTACTAGGAATTGAACCCAGGGTCTCTGGAAGAGCAGTCAGGGCTCTTAACCGCTGAGTCATCTCTCTAGCCCAACTTTTTTTTCTGGATGCTGTGTAATTTTATAAATACTCATCCCCTCCCTGAAACAAGATATCACTTTGTAGCACAAGGTGGCCTAGAACTTGTGGCACTCCTCCTGGCACACCCTCCCAAGTGCAGGGATTACACATAGGAGCCACATCTAGCTCTGGTTTTTGTTGTTGCTGTTGTTTTTGTTTTGTTTTTATGTTCATTTCCACAGAAGACAACTGGGAACTGAAAAATTTATGACTACACTGAAGGACTCAGTCCAAGAATTAAGTCTTCCTCTTGATAACTTCAGTATTTCAGCCAAAGCAACCCCCCAGCAGTCACAAAGGATCGATGGTAACTCTTACACTGTGAGGACTGGAGGGCTTCCCAGGAAGGCTGGAGCCCCTCAGGTTAGGAGGCCTCAGTAGGAAGAGGAGCATGGCGATCACCATCCAGGCCATCAGGATCACAGTGATGCTGATGCCACTGTCATTGGAGGGTCCTGGCACTGAGGACAAACAGAAAGTACATCTGTAGCAAAAGTGCATCCTGACTGTAACACTACAAGATATACCTAAAAACCGATTGCAATGTTTAAGAGCTAGCTTTAAAAGTCACATTAAGAAAACCACTGATAACTTAAGTAGAGATGTCAACTAATACATTTCAATTTCCCTCCTTCAAGTGGCAAAATCTACAAGGTAACTTCTGGTAGTCACAAACCAAACTGTAAAAAGACTGTGACTAGTCTAATAGTACTTTACAGTCTCATTTATTTTTTTATTACGTGTGTGTGTGTGTCTCTGTGTGGATATGAGCATGCGTATACGAGTGCCTGTGGAGGCCAAAGTTGGCTTCCCAGAGCTGTAGTAATAGGCAAACTGTGAGCCATCTGAAACGGGTGCTGGGACTGGAACTCTGGTCCTCTGCAAGAGTAAGTAGTATATGCCCTTAACCAGAGGCACTTGTCCAGCCCTGTACAGTAAGGTAATAATTTGTGTTAACAGAATCCTGAGAGCTTGGGAGCAGTTAGGGACACTTATCACTGTGATACTCCATGGCCTACACACATTCAACAGTTTTGCATTGATTTGCAAGGATCATGGACGGACTCAGGAAACCACAAATCTGAGATAGTAAGACTTACTATCTGCTGAGATAGTAAGTCTATGTCCAAATAATAAAAATCAAAACAAACAAAAAATCTAAACAAAACAAAAAACAAATGCTCAATTTTCAGAAACTAAAAATACAGACCAGATTTTTTTCTTTTAAAAAAACCCAGCAGTTTGTAAAAATGGCCTATCAATATGACAGCTAGTTTTGGGCTTTCTGCATCAGGGAAAGTAAAAGCTACCCAGACAGGATGCTGAAACTAAACTGATACACTGCAACAGGTTCCATGGGCCCAGGGCTCACTCCCAACCAGCCGTACTGAGGCCAACATGCTAGCAACTGAAACGCAGTCATTTTAAGTACTTAGCTGGTACAAGAGGAGGCAGATGGGAATGCAGTTTGGGTTCTAACCTCAGTCACTTTCTGAGCAACAGCTAACTCAATGGGGCAGGGGTCACCAAATTGTATGCTTTACCCGCACTGTTTCTTTCTCCTTTGGATGCTGGGTGCTGAACCCAGGACCCTGCCACTCTAGACAGGCAGTATACCACTGCACCACACCTAACCCCACCCACACCACACACCTCATTCCCATCGCTACTCTAAATGTTGTGAGGCTCTAACATTTTTATTACATTTACTCTTATTTCTGTGGAGTAACACATGTGAAGATCACAGGATAACTTTCAGGATCTGGTTCTTTCTTTTCACTGGGTGAGTTCCAGGGATTAACTCATAAGCCTGGGTGGGTAGTGCCTTTATTGGCTAAGCCATCTGACTTGAACTTTCCTTTTACACAGGGGCTATCCATTACCCTCAAGTCTCTGGGAAGCCCAGGCTCCTGATTTTCCTTCCCCTAACTCCCAGACAAGTATGTGTTGTCATACCCAAAAACACCAGAAACACAAACATCTCTGCTGACCCACCCAGTGACTCAGCATATCGAGCTCTGAGGACGCCAGCCTGACCTTTGCCAGGGTGACTGGGACTTGCTTCTCTAATCTTCACTTTCTCCAACATTATCTTTCCTAGTTACTTCATTCCTTCTCTCCAGCCAATGTCTCCCTTGCCTGGCTGCACAGCAGGAAAACCTGTGACCTACACCACAGATTCTGGGGCCCTGTGTCAGGCTATCTGATTCAGGAGCAGCACAGGGCTGTGGGCTAATATTCTTTTTAAGCCTTCCAAATGAGTATGATGTAACACCGACTCAATACGTCTCTGGCAGGGAGTACTGGAAGGAGTCTTTCCACAGCCCTCCTATCTTCCACCTCGCCCGGCACGACAACCAACCTCCCGTTTACTCTCTACCTCCCTCTCTGCTGTAACAATCCCATTGCTTCTGCTACTGTCCTGCCACCTCTTCAAAATATGGTAGCAGTTCTCAGTTGAAGGAATGGCTTGCTTAAGCCATTAACTTTCTAAGACCAGGAACTGTCTCATGGCTATCTGACCTTGGTGCCTTGGTTTCTTTATCTGTGAAAGTTAAACATTCCATCACCTCATAGGTGCAGTGGGTAAAGGACGGGCAGGACATGGAAAGCAGAACGACACACTACCCAGAGCAGCACGTGGCAAACAGCGAAGGGCAGGAGAAGGCAGGCAGCAAAATCCCTCCACTTCAAAGTCTAAATAGACACGATTTTCCTGACCTTCAAGGCCTACGAGAAACTCTCCCCACCCCTCTCTCTCTGTGACTGTTGGTAATCTAACCCATCCATGGCTTCCAGCAGGTTGGGTAAGCCCTCTACCACTGAAACCCCATACCCATATTTATTTGTGGGATGTAGAAGGGAAATGTGCCATGGCACCCTCTGGGGAAATAAAAAGATAATTTGTGAGAGTCGGCCATCAGTTTTAAGGCTTCTTTACTCCAATGTTAATCACACAGTTGGTCTCAGGACCACAGGTGCCACATGAGGTCTGCTGCAGGTGAGTCTGCTGTATGTGAGTCCTGGGGAGCACGGGTGCACGTGAGGTCTGCTGGAGGTGAGTCTGCTGTATGTGAGTCCTGGGGAGCACGGGTGCACGTGAGGTCTGCTGGAGGTGAGTCTGAGCTAAGAGAGAAATGCCTGCGGAGGTCATGGAGAGGTGTGTGACAGTAACATTTAAAAGAAAATTTAAAGATATGTGTGTGTGTGTGTGTGTGTGTGTGTGTGTACATGCCAGAAGACAGAAGAGGGCATCAAGTGCCCTGGAGCTAGAGCTGAAGATGCCTGTGAGCAGCCTGACACGGGAACTGGAAACTGAACTCGGGTCCTCTGCAAGAAAAGCAAGCATTGCTAACTGCTGAGCCAGCTCTCTAGCCCTACACCAAAGCGTTTAACTGAGGGAACGTCATAATCTAGTCTGATTTTTTATTTAAAAATTACTTATTTATTTATTTATTTATTTTGTGTATGTGTGTGTGTAAGCATACACGCCACAGCACACATGTTGAGGTCTGAGGACAACTTGAGAAAGTTAGTTCTCTTCTTCTATAGTGTGTGGTGGCGGGAGTCCCAGGGAACTGAACTCAGATCATCAAACTTGCAGCTTTATCTACCGGGCCATCCTGCTGGTCCCTGACTGTAGTGAGATCTCGTGTATCCAGGCTGATCTCAAATACGCTGCTATGTAGCCATGGCTGGCTTGAACTCTGTCTCTGTTTCTAGAATGCTGAGACGGCAGGCCTATGCTGCTTACTCCTGGTTTGCTGAATTTTAGAAAATAATTATGGTGCTATTCTAGGAAAGTAAATTGGTATACAAGACCTAGTATGACTCCACAAGCAGAGGTACAACAGCAGGTGAAGAGGGCATAATTAAAGCAGCAGGAGGAGGAGGAGGAAGAAGAAGAGGAGGAAGAGGAAGAAGAGGAAGAAGAGGAAGTGGAGGTCACAGAATGCTGCTGAGACATTAAACATGCAGACTAAAGAGGATTTGAGGAGGTCAGACACAGTGTGCGAGGTGGAAGGACATAAGGCTCTCGGCCAGCCTGAACTAGATAGTGAGTCTGAAGCCAGCCTAGGCACACAGTGAGACCACAGAGACAGGCTAAAGTGCAGTCCAGTGTGGAACATTTGCCTAGTGTGCATGAGAGCTTGGGTTTGATCTGCAGCACCATAAGAAAGAAACAATAGTCTTTTAAAAATATTCTACAAAGCTCTAAAACTGTTCTTCATGTTCAAACAAACCTCTGAACGGTCTTTAAAAGTGGTTCTATGAAAAGCCTAGCAATGTCTTCAGAAGGCTGCCTCCTGTAATGAGAAAACCATGTGCAATGGTAACTATAAAGACAGGGGCCAGCGAAAGGCGCTAAAGCATGGCAGGGTTTAGATCTAGACTGGGAAAACTGCCAGCAGAAATAGGGAGGGAAGGAGGGCGACCACTGCCCTGACGCTGGCAATCTAGAAGGTAGAAGGGTCTGCCTCCAAGTATGGGGAGCTTAGAACCAAGACTGACATAAGATGCCCAAGTAAACAGTCTCTAGATACATAGTTGCTAGACACAGGACAACAGAAGATGATACCACCGAGAAAGCAAAACATAATTAAGAGTGAAGCCAGCAGGACAAGACTTCTCAGCTGAAGGCACCGCCTCCAAGTCTGAAGATCTGAGTTTGGCTCCCAACACCCCCACAATATAACCAATATTTTTTTTTTTATAGCAAGTGTAGAGAGAGGGGGAGCTGTGAGCAATCTCAGTCAGGAGCCAATGGGATGTGTTTACTGCTGACTACTACAACTGGAGTAAAGTTCAGAAGCCGGTGAGATTTGGAGATCAGAGAGACTCAGTCACAGAAGTAGCTAGTCACAGCCAGAGCATAGGCCTCATGGGTCAGAACAAGGACCTTCTATTATGCTTCAAACAGAAAACCCCTGAAAAGTTCTAGGTGAAAAGAAGCCAAAAGCAAACTCTTGTTCAAGCCAGCTGTGTTATGAAAAACAAAGCAACAGGAAGATAAACTGGGAGAGAGTTAAGAACATATAAGGCTGGGCATGGTGACACTCGCCTTTGATCTCACCACTTGGGAGGCTGAGGCAGGCAGATCTCTGTGAATCTGGGGTCAGCCTGTTGTACACAGTGAGTTCTAGACCAGCCAAGGCTACATCGAAGGCCCTGTCTCAAACAAACAAACAAACAAACAGAACCTATTATAATAGCCTAGATATGAGATGGTGAACAGGGAGGGGACAGAGCGGGGGACTATTAAGTACAGTTTTGGTTACATCCTGAAGGTAGATGTAACAGACCTGGAAGCCAAGGGTCACTTTCAGAACAGTCACCACAAACTTACAGTAAAGACAAAAGAAGAAAAGCAGCCATGACAGAGCGACTAGGGGCGCAATTCTGAAGATGATGGCTTTGGGATTGCCTATGAAACACCACAGAGGACATATCCATAAGACAGTCACCAGCACACACCTAGTGAGTCATGAGACGTGAGAACATCATCAAGGGAGTGTAGGGAAGGAACAGCTCCAGGGAATGAGCTCGCAAGGTGGGGAAATAAAGAAAACAGAGTAGTTGAAGACAGTAATTAGAAAGTTAGAACTGGAGAGGAAATACGGCTAGAGGGGGAGTCGGAGAGCTGGAAAACTGCAAGACTGAATGGTTACAGGTTCTGAGTAATAAGCAAAGGCTTTGTCTAGAAACAGGAAAAGATAGGGAACTATGTCAAGGGTTGTGCTGGGTAGGGAGCTCCAGCAACTAGTGTTTGTCATGTGAACATGAGGCCCTGAGTTCAATCAAAACCCGCATGAAAAAGGAGGGTATGGGGCATACCTGCAATCCCAGTGCTGGAGAAAGAAAGCCAGGGAATCCCTCCCTGGAGCTCCCTGGCCGACCAAGCAGCAGAGCTGACTCGGTGAGCCCTAGATCCCATTGAGACCCTGTCTAAAAACAAAGGTGGAAGGCTTATGAAGAGGGACATCTGCGGTGGTGTACACATGGCACGTGCACCAGCACCAAGGTGCTCCTGCACACATGAACACATATCACAAAATAATAAATACAGCGGTATATACTGATACACAACTTAATCTATCACTCGAGAGGCAGAGGACAGATGTCTGTGAGTTAAAAGCCATCCTGGTTTATGTAATGGACTCCAGGCTAGTCAAGGCTATAGAAAAAGACACTGTCTCAAGATAAATAAGTAATAAAACAAACAAATAAATAAATAAATAAATATGTCAAAAGTTAAGTTTTGATAAAAATAAATAAATAATAGAAAGTGGCAGAGAATTATCAAAGATAAAAACCACTGGTGCCTTTAGCAATCACATGAGCAGATCAAAACTTAGAATCTAAAGACCCAACTATATTCACTGACTAACGTCAAAGCTCAAACAGAGTCTACAAGACTCTATTTCTCTACCATTTATACTTTAGGCATATGTTTTCACTGTTTTATACATCTCCAGAAGCTGATTCTATGAATAACTGAGTAAATGATTTTTTGGAGACAAGGGCTCCTAGTAGAGTCTCAGTATGACTGGCTGGCCTCTGACTCACTGAGCAGCAGAGACTGACCCTGCACTGCTGACCCTGTGCCCTTTGCCTCCTCGGTGCTGGGATTATAGGTATGTAGAGGTTTGTATACATGGATATGTATCTCCAGCAGGCCTCGTTTATTTGGTGCTGGAGGTCAAATCTGGGACTTCATATATGCTAAAGTAGCAGAATTGAGAGGACCTGCCTAAACACACACACACACAAAGTGAAAGAAAGGGAGAGAGCACACACACACTTACATCTGATGCTAAATATAAACAACTGACCTATTAAAAAATGTAATTTTGGGCTGGAAATGTAGGGCAGACACGGAGTACTTGTCCAGTATGAGCAAGACCCAAGGTTAGAAAGCCAGTATTACTCGCTAAGTGAAGACAACGTAATCCAGCAATCAAAGCCTTCTGATGTGTGCAGGAGGCCTAAATGGCTGAAATATGCTTTTCAATTAAAAAAAAAAAAAACAACTTTTTTGAGCTGGAAGCAATTTAGAAATAGCAAATTGAAGGTAAACTCCCATGAACAGGTTTTCCTGTCTAATGATGAAATATAAATTCTTTACTGAAGACAGATCTACAGTAGAAAACTGTACATTTAAGGAGAGTCACTTACCTTAAAATAAACTAATCAGGCATGATGATACATGCTTAACATCCTAGCCTAGCACCTTGGGAGGTAGAGGTTGTACAATCAGAGGTTCAAGGCCAGTCTGGGCTATGTGAAATGTTCTTGCCTGTGTCATGCCCCAGGCCCACCCTCCTGCTGCCCGATGCTACTTACACTCCCGAAGGCATTCTGTGTCGGTGCAGTAGGACTGGGACTGCCGGAGCTGCAGTAACAGAAAGGAGGGTTAGCTGCTGAGCCGCCAACCTGGCAGGGGCAATCAGACTCGGGGTGGGGGGCATGTGGTGGATAGGTACATAGGTGGACGGACAGAATGCAGCATTGGAGCTAGCTCAGCATGCATGCAGCCCTGCATGTAATTCCTAGCACCACATAATAAACAAGCAAATCATCATTTTAAAGTTTAGACGTTTAGACATATTTATCTTATTTTATGTGAATATTTTGCCTCCATGTTTGTTTATGTACCACACACATCCCTGGTACCCAACAGAGGTCAGAACTGGGCATTGGATCCCTGAGATATAGAGTTACTAAGCTACTATGTGTGTACTAGGAATTGAACCCAGGTCTGGTCCACTGGAAGGGCAGCCAGTGCTCTTAACCTGCTGAGCCATCTCTCTAGGCCCTTTATTTTTTTGTGACGGGTTCTCAGGTAGGCCACGTTAGCCTCAAACTCACTCATAGCAGATGACCATAAACTCCAATCCCCCTTGTCTCTACCTCCCCAAGGCTGGGAGTGAAGAGCAGTAACTTCTCAGTTTGGTCTCACTATGAATGACACGTGCTTACACACTCAGTAACCCACCCCCTGCAACTGTTTGCACAGCAACCTTCAACTGCTGAGCGTGGGCGCCACAGTACGACAGGCAGCGCCTTAAAGTCAGGGTAGGCAGCATTCTAGTGTTTAAAGACTGGACAGGTTACCTGACACCTCCGAGCTTCAGTTCTTTTCACTTACTAACATGGGGACAAGAAAACTACCTACTTATCAGGAATTAGCACAGATAACACAAGTGAAACGCAGTAACAGCCCAATAACACTATAATCAATCACCGTGTTCTACACGACGGATGATCTCATCTGAGCAACGGTGCAATAACCAACAGACTGTTCAATAAGTTACCCTCTAAGATGATCAGTTTTGCTGAGTCATGTTAACTAATGTAAGATTATGCTGTATATCTTTTTTGTTCACTTGTTTTTCCAAGACAGTGTTTCTCTGTGTAGCCCTGGCTGTCCTGGAACTCACTCTGTAGACCAGGCTGGCCTTGAACTCAGAAATCCACCTGCCTCTGCCTCCCAAGTGCTGGGATTAAAGCCTGTGCCACCACCGCCCGGCCTATTAAATCTTTTAGAATAAGGTGAAGGGAATGAAGACAACATTCAGTGTCAAAAGGCAGCTCCAGATCTCTGTGAACGCATACACACACACACACAGACACACACACATGAAAACATATACACAGCTCAAACATAGACCTAAAAAACTTAAAATAAATTGAGAGCAGTAGGGGATAGAGTTTCTTTGTGTAGTCTGGACTATCCTTAAACTCATTCTGTAGACCAGGCTGACCTCAAACTCAAGAGACTAGCCAGCAGCTTCCTGCCAAGTGCCAATATTAAAAAAGTGTACCAGTATTGTCTGGCAATTTAAAATCAATTTTATTTTATTTATTTTCTTTCTTTCTCCCTCCCTCCCTCCCTCCTTACCTCCCTGCCTGCCTCCCTCCCTTCCTCCCTTCTTTCCTTCTCTTTTCTTTTTCCTGAGACTGATTCTCAATATGTAGCCCTGGCTGGCCTAGAAACTGCCATGTAGACCAGGCTGGTGTCAAACTCAAAGAGACCCACTTGCCTCCTAAATAAAGGGATTAAAGGTGTGCATACAGCTCCATGGCCCAACTTCACAGACATCTTTAAAAAGAGAACTATACACATTCCATTTCTTTAGGTTACAAGAGAGAAAAAGCAAAACAAAAAAGAATTCAAGTTTACACATCTAAATTCATGTGTCCTTCCAGAACTCTCATCACTAAGGGAAGAAACTCTATACCAAGAGGCCACAGGAGAAAGTAGGTAAAAAGTGGGGAGATAGACCAGAAAAAGGAGCTGGAGAGATGGCTCAGTGGTTAAGAACACTGACTGATCTTCCAGAGGTCCTGAGTTCAATTCCCAGCAACCACATGGTGGCTCACAACCACCTGTAATGAGATCCGATGCCTTCTGGTGTTTCTGAAGACAGTGACAGTGTACTCATATACATACAATGGTGTTGTCATCTTTCCATTTGTGCAGTAAATAAAACTACCTGTGACATAACAAGCATGTATTTCAGTAGAGATGGACTCACAGTGCATCTATTCTCATCCACCTTGTTTTAGGAAACATTTCACAAGCTAGGTAGTGTGGCTCACACCTTTAGGCCCAGCACTGGGGCCAGCCTGTTCTACACAGCAAGTTCTAGGCTTGCCAGGGCCACGTAGCAAAACCCTGTCTTAAAAAAGAAAGACAGACAGATAGAAAGGATTTAATAAGTGAAGCCTAAAGGATTACACTGGGAAAGAGAAAGGACACAGTGCATTGAGAGGACTGGTATGGTGTATGAAGGTGCGCACGCTTGCTTGCCCATGCCTGCAAAACTGGGGACTGAAGGATAACACTGGCTGTCTCTACTGTTCTCCAATTCAGTTTTTGAGACAAAGTCTCTCACTAAACCTAGACCTTTTTGACAAGGTTAGCCCACAGTGATGCTTCAAGGCCTGTTTCTCTCTCTGTCTCCACAGCACAGCTTAGGGAGGAACTGGCAGACATGGTCCAGCATGCATGATCTCATTTGTGTACCTGGGATCTGAAACCAGGTCCTTGTGCTTTCGTAACTCACTGAGCCATCTTAAAAAATGTTTCTAAAACCACCACACACACAAGTTTTTAAACATCCCCAAAGCAAATGGAAACATATATATAACACCCAAAGTGCAAATGAATTACAAATATTCAATACTCACACATCTAGGAGATATGGGAGGGAGAAAAAGAGAGGGATCTTAAATTCATGTAACCCAATAATATAATTAAATCATGAGCACCCTAATCTGGGTATTATTTGTATTGCAGTCACAAAGAGCTCTGAACTTAAACACTCTAGGTTTATAACAGAAGTTGCTTGCTTTATATCCAACAGTCCAACACTGTAGGTAGATAATAAAATGAATGAACAAGTTTGTGTTCTTTATACTAAAACTTAGATATGGAATGAAAATGCAGTAATCTGAATTAATGTTTATGTCCATAAAAGGGGGCCACCTAAGGTTTTTATATTTGTAACTTTTTTATTTATGCTAAGAACAAATCTCATCAATTTAGAAATCAAAGGTAACACAGCTTTATTATAATTGTTGAAAATTGTGATGGAGAGATGCCCCAGTAGTTAAGAATACTTCCTGCTCTTCCAGAGAACCAGAGTTGAAACCCCACACCCATGTCACACAGCTCACAACCATCCAACTCCAGCTTCATAGGACCCAACATCTGCTTCTGGAGACTGTGAGAACTGAGCTCACATACACAGACACAGACTCACACATATGCACATACATAAAAGAAAATTTTTCTGCTGTTGTGTGTGGGGGTTGTTTTGTTTCTAGACAGGGTCACTCTTCATAACCGTGCCTGTATTGGAACTCAGAGATTCACCTGCATCTGCCTCCTGAGTGCTGGGATTAAAGGCGTGTACCACCACCGCCACCACCCAGTAGAGTAAATGCTCTTAACTACCAAGCCATTTCTCTAGATCACTTCTGAAGTCATCCAGAAAACATCTGCCTTTGCCATTTCCCCGAAATGTTTCCCTAATTTAAAAAAAAATAGCGCCAGGCATTGGTGGCACACACCTTTAATCCCAGCACATGGGAGGCAGAGGCAGGCAGATTTCTGAGTGAGTTCTACAGAGTGAGTTCCAGGACAGCCAAGACTATACAGAGAAACCCTGTCGTGAAAAACAAAACAAAAAAAAACAAAAAAAAAAAGAATTTAATTGTATGTGTATGAGTGTTTTGCTGCATGTATGTATGTTCACCATGTGCGTGCCTGGTGCCCTTGGAGGTCAGAAAGGGATGTCAAAGCCCTTAGAACGAAGTTACAGATGGATGTGCTGGAATCGAGCTCTCATCCTGTGTAAGAGCAGCCAGTGCTCTCAACCACTGAGAATCTCTCCAGCCCCTACAGTTCCCCCTAATCTCTACTCCAGTAGTTTTCAATACATTTTAGGATTTACACTAATCCCAGTACTCAGGAGTTTGAGGCTAGCCTGGCCCATAGAGCAAGTTTCAGAACAGTCAGAGCTACACAAAGAAGTCCTGTCTCAAAAAAACCAAAATTAACCAACCAACCAAAACCTCAAAAAAATTAATAATAAAATAAATAAATAAACATACAGACAAATAAATTTGGTTTTTGTTTTGATGGTGAGATAAATGCCTAATTTTGATCTTCTACATATGAAGATCAGTTCTTCCATAAGAAGTTATAAAAGGGTTTGTAATTTTTTTAAACTTGTGTGTATCATTTGCATGTGGGTGGTGCCCGTGGAGGCCACAAAGGGATGCTGGTCACCCTAGAGCTCAGTTACCGATGGCTGTGGGCGCCTCTGTGGTGCTGGGGCAGTGGTTCTCTAAGAGCAGCACGTGCTCTGCTCTCACTGCTGAGCCATCTCCTCAGCGAGCCTTAATATACACTAGCTTTTATCACCTCTGCTGATAACCAGTTAACAGAAGAGTCCGAGTTCAAGTTGTGCTCCCTGGTCTATGTGTCCGCTTGTGTTGCTTTGACTACAATGGTTCTCTAGCATGCTTTCAAACTGGTGTTACGCCTGCAACTATTGTCTTTGCCACCTTGGGTCTTTTGTGCTTCCACATAGAGCTTTACATGTTCTTCTAGTTTTACCAGGTTATTGACGTTACCCACTATTATACTGCGGCTCGAATCTCCCTTTTTTCTACAAGTGCTTGCTTCATAAAACTAGGTGTTCCAACTCAGTGCATACAAATTCATCATTTTGACAAACTGTCCTATAATCAATGTGTAATAACCTCCTTTCTGTGACATATTTTGTCTATAAGTCAGTTTATAGTTAATCTACTCCTGCTTGCTTTTGGATGCCATTTGCTTGGTATATCATTCTTTACTCTTCTACTCTGTCCTCACAG